GAGATGGAGGAAGAGAGAGGAAAGTAGGGAGATTAAAAAATAATTCGGGAAATATGTAGCTGTACACGGAAAAAAATCCCGTTGAATTGACAGATTTGGCTACAGCACTGAAACTAATACTCGGGTTGTTAACAATGTATGACGTATTAATTTCAATAATAATACCGCCATTGAATGAAGAAATTTTTCGCATCAATTACGGCACTGTTACGGCCAAGTCCATTGATTCCTCTTCTTTCAGTATCTTTTTCCGCATAAAAAATAGAATCGATCTAACCAAGATCTGCTAGTTTCCGCCCGAGCTGCCATCGCCAAGAAATTAAGATTTCTCGCTTTGTCGTCGATAACGCCATTTTTCAGCGTAGCCTCGAAAAACACGAGACACCGTAATCCTCGTGGTCGCCCCTTCTTTCCCGTAGAAAAGAAGGCACGATGGCTGACGATTGCGCTCGCCATCCGTTACGATTTCTCCCACTACGAGCTCTCTCTTTCTGTCCTCCTACTCTGATGCCAGTTGGGCCACCTCTTCCTGAAAAGTGTACCATCGTCGACCATTGGGTGCAAGTGGCATCAAGGCTACCGATTGGACGGCCTCTGACGCTCGCCTAGGAATCCCGCGACCTCGCGAATTGACGTCGCGACGTGCAACGTGGCGCGACGCACGTGGACATGCAAATCGACGCGACCTCTTTGTGTCTCGGTGCGAATATCGACCTCGAATCGCGCTGCCCGTCAGATTGGTTCTGCCGCGAAGGATTTATGTTAATCCTAGATAGCCTTCGCTGAAATTAGCTGCTTTGCGTAACACGTGTAAGAATTTTTATCGATTTCAGAGCGAACTCGCTGATATAATCGATTTTTCCACCCGTAAGAATGTCTAATGAGATTTTCAAGGTAAATTAATTAATTAATTTCCAGACACATAATAGACAGTGAGAGAGAGAGAGAGAGAGAGAGAGAGAGAGAGAGAGAGAGAAAAAGGAAAAAGGTCGATCGTGTTCGAGCGACATTATCTGAAAAATATCCGAAAGAAAATCAGAAGTTTGGTGTCGTTTTTACATCAATCGAGCCAAAACTATTCGAGACACGAGGAAGTATTGGAAACCGGATCGTCGGACGTTGAGATCGATAGGAACGAGCGGGATTGATGAGGAGAAAGGTGGAGGGCTATTAAAGCGATATGGGGGGAAACGGTGGGTAAGAGACAACCGCGAAAAAGATCGATAAATGGAATGTCGGTTAATCTGCAGCCAGGTCCAGTCTGCACGCCGGAATCTGCACGTGCATTACGCTTTCGTGTGCCTGTCGAGGCACGCGTCGCCTGCGTGCGACTAGCATACGTTATCAATCATTTGAATCTTATACAAATAATACACATATTTGTTATTACACGATACATGCTAATAGTTACTTGAATTTCATCCGCTGTTCGAATTTATCTGTCATTTATTATTTATCAATTATTTAGATCTAATTTTATCAATTATTTAAATTTTTAATAAACAGCATATCTGTGATATTACGTCACGTTTCAAACAATCTTGCAGTAATCACGAAACATTGGAAAATAATCATGGTTGGTCTCGATGGAAATTTTTGCTTGACCAAACACCAAAATGCAGCAATCGTTGGATGCATAAAATGTGCAAATCGAATCGAAAAAGGATTCTGCACTTTTGATTCCTAAAAATAATTTTGCTTTTAACATTACGTACGAGAGTGCGCGGCGCTTGCAAAATTATCCAGTTATTATACTATAAGAGTCATAGCGAAAAACGTAAAGGTACGATATAAAAACGTTCATAACGTTGGGTTGAATAGAGGAGGGGAGATATCGCAAAAAAGTTGACGTTACAATGTCCCATTATCCAGTTTGAGGAACAAGCTTCCTTTCTAATACGTCGCGTCACGTGGAATATCTCGAGAAATGACCTTTATTTTGCGGTTATTGGTCGACCGTTAGCCGATAAAATAAATAGATAATGCGCGCCACAATGGATCGTTTCGTGCGGAAAAGAAAAGGGAGTAGAAATCACTGTCGCATTCCAGCGAGCGGACTTATGCGATCGAGCCACCAGGCGAAAGCTGCAACAAGCTTCCATCGTGGCGGCATTCAAAGTACCGGTACACACGAGTCGTGCCATAGCTATGGCAGGTATTTACTACTAGGCAACGTGAATACATTACAACGCTCGCGTGTACTTTGTTGCACAGAGACCGTTTTTCCGGAAAGCCGCGGAATGCACGAGATCTTTGACTTACGCGAGAGCAGAAAACATTTCAAAGAGCAAGCCCGCGATCTTCATACCGTGTACCGAAGATAACAACGACTGCGCGCGAATAAGGATGATGGTCGAGTTCGATATGTATTCATGACTCGCGATTTACTCGGTAGCCAGATATCATATTTCGCTAAAACGCGTAGGCTATTTCGAAAGAAAGAAAGAAAAAAATCATTGATTTACTTTACTGCAAGCTGCAAAGGAGAATTTACCGCAATCGAGGGTAGATAGGATCAACGAGCGCGTATCAACTGATACCGGTCGAAGTTTTACGAGATGCGATGCCGATACCGACGATGCATCCTCTTAGAATCCGACAACGAGCTGTGCGAATCAAACAATATGCGGAGGTATACAAGAGCAGAGAACGCGCAGGCCGGATGGCACTTCTCACAATTCTCCGATATTTTACTCGCACGGGGACGCGAACGAAAGCCACTTGTCCACGCGAGTCCGGACTCGCCGACGGCTTCCTTCTTACTCGACACTTTCGCATAAGTAGGCGATTCAAGTGCCGCTCTGTGCGGAGACGCGAAACGCGAAACGGAGCGCAAAAAGAACAATCCGCGCGGGCCGCTGGACGAGAAGGGCACATAAGGAAGCCGAGTTTACGAGATGATTGTCCTACAGGCCCTATTCATTCGGCACGGAATCTCCGGGCGGATCTCTATTGTAGATTATTGCGCCATTGTCCATTGTCGCAATCCGCCAACAACTGGCTTTCTTAGATCTCTTTCTTTCGCGTGAGCGGAAAAATCAACGCAAGAACGAAACCGTCAGCCCGACTCTGTCTTATTGTTTTATTACGATACAAGATAATGTTTCGCGCTGCTCAATGCAATTAGCGGATTGTTCGCATGTCGCCTAGTAGATACGTATTCAGATATCAAATAATCTCTTGGTATATTCATACCTTAAACCTTTAAAGATATCTATATCTCATTTCTTATTTATATGTAATTTGCAGTTACTTACGTTGTTTTCCTGTTCAAGCTACGTATACAGCTACTCACAGCTATTCCATTGAAGCAATCCTTTATAGTAATTGTTATGAGCATAATAAAATTTATACAACAGTAGAAAATTACGATACAATAGAATATATTATAATAAAATAATAGAAATATATGGGTGCACACATTTGTGGACAGAAAGATTGTCTGTAATTTTTTGCATGACTTTCGTGCGAATATCGTGCGTCTAGTTCCATTGGAGAAACCGCCCTCTAATAGGAGAATTACTCCATCAGACGAGCCCTGAAACTCACGCAAAAAATTATAGAGACAGCCTTTCCGTCCACAATCGTACACGTGGATCAGTTGAACAGTAGTAACGTTATATGACAAGCGTCAAGAATCGCTCGCCGCGCGTTCAGCGTCGCGTCTCAATTTCGATCGGTTCGCCGACGGAGGACGAAGTCGCGGAAGACGAAATGCACGGCAATTAGCAGGCTATTAACGACAACACGTGCCGCCTATGTCGACAGTCTCGTGTCCCACGGAAAGCGCGGTCCGCACACGACGCCGCGTAAGGAGCGCGAGGACGTTTCGCGTGTCGCTCGCGCGCGGGACGCATATCGATGGAAATCGAATGAAGCGGAACGGCAGCTGCGGGTGGGCACACAGGCAATTACGTACGAATAACTCGGACGAAAAAAAGTAGCCGCGATGGCGATCGCGCGCACGGACGATCTTATCGACACGCGGACGCGGTGTCGCGCGCGTCCCCGAGGGTCTCCGAGTATGACGATGCAATTATCAATAATTGGGAAATTTTTTTCGAGTGCGATTCAACGTAGCCGCGCGCCGGCGCATTCATTATAAAATTCGGTATTACGAGCTCTGTCCCCCGAAATTCCCGTTATTATTATCGTCGCGCGAAAACCATTAACCTTCTTTCGCGACGCGCTCGTTAGGTTACTCCGCCTCTGTTCGCGTCGTTGGAGAGAAAACGAGCGTAATTTCGAGCCACGTGCGTCTACGTGTACGTATACGCGGATACCGAGATATCGATCTAAATAATATGAAAAATATACGAACGGCTCGATCAATTTCTCATATAGCATTTTAATTATTAATCATAGACACGTAAACGGTTGTCCATCAAATATACGCGCGATACAAATGACGCGTATCGCGTTGCCTCGGATTGAAGGAAATTGCATCCATAAGGATAATTGCACACACAGCTAGCAGAAAGCGATAAAGATTGTTCCAGCAGCAAATGGTACTCAATTGCAGTATCAAGTTAAAGTTTAAGGCGCTGTTTCGCACAACGATCTCCATTGTGACGCACAAACTTTACTTTATGCGATGTCCTCGGCGATATCGAGATTTGAGGAAACAAATGTGGGTTAATGGGCGATGGAAAGGCGTGAACAGTCTCGTTCGTATCACAAATCGCGGAAATTGTATGCTCAGATATTAAGGAGACGATTTTGATTCAAAACTGTCAAACGATTCAGCATTCAGTATATAAAGCGGTATTGGTCGTTCAGTGTAAAAGTGTTAATTATAGTTATGTTGTCGCTTGTATTGCATTCTCACATATCCGATATGGAAAATCGACAATTGTAGGATGCTATGTCGGCTCGCGGATCAAAAGACTAGGAAGAATCGTTCGAAAGAGGCATGTTCACGTACTCGCCATGCCTCATTGGCACATACACATATGTGCGTGTGCCAACATACACGCTCTTTGTGGAAATTACACGCTTACCTTATCAAGCCGCTGTCCTTGTGCTTGCCGATGAGGAACGTCTGCACACCATCCAGCATCTGATTAGCCCACGGTGGTTTCACCCAGATGAGGTACTTGAAGTGACCCGCGTACACTGCAGGCAAGATCCAATTCTCGATACTGAGTTCGCTAGAAAGAAAAGAAACGGTGATAAAAATGTGAGCCAATAATTACTCTCGCGCTCATGGAACTTGTTTAATCAAATAAAAAGACGCGCGCATCCTTCCCTCCTGTTTTTTCCTTAATATTGCCGCGTCTCTGCAATAATCACGCGGATACGAAATGTTCGTTTCGCGCGGAGATTAATAAACGACGAAAATCGAGTGGAAATTGTTCTTGCGGAACACGGAATAGATTGCAGTTTTTGCGCGTCAGTATTCACGTCTAATTGCAACTTGTCCTGTGCTTAATTGTTGAGCAATATGTTTCATGATTGCATCGAATATATAAAAGGATGCACATTGCTCAACGGGAGGGAGGGATGCGGGAGTGAAACAAATCGACGAGTAACATCGGAGTGCGACATTATGCGCCGATACATGATGGATAAATTGTATAGTGTCGTGCAATTTTTTACACGAATGGCCGGCGATTCGGTAATTTCCGTATGATTGATTCAAACGATTGGTTCTCAGCGCACCATTGCCGTTCACTAAGAACTCACTCGGCACGCGGAATGCGTGGCGGCGTGTAGCGAAACGCAGCAATTTTTATGAGAACTCGCGACTCGCAGAATGCACTCGTATCGTTTGCACTTCTGAGCGTTCAACGCGATGCAGATACCAGAAGCAGGTTCTCTATCTTGAGACCGATCGCAGTGAGAACAACGCAATGTGCATTTACGATAAAAGCAAATCAATCGAACGGACGTAGTTTCTTTTCTCCGCGGCTCGGTTTCTTCATTGTCAGACTTTCGCGTGAATGACGATACTGAAAATTTTTCTAACGTCGCTTTCGTCGTTTCAGTGACTCTCTTCCCATTTTTCGCGGCATATTGTATATTACACGTCGTATATCATTACATCCGCCGAATCAATTGTTATTTTACGATTGAATGCACCAACAAATTGATATTTGATTACTAGAAGAGTTGCAACCGACGTCATTTTCACGAATGTTCTAACGGTCGTGAATAAACTTAAGGATCATATTCGCGTGACTATGGCGCGCAAACTTCAGTCTTCTTGACTTATTTCGCCATCTTGGATTCAAAAATGATCGCTGAACGATGCACCGAGAGGCATAATAGCATCATTTTCTTTCTTTCGTTATCTCTTTCCCGCGTGAAGCAAAAAATATATAATTATCAAAATAAATGTATTTTCCGTGACTGGTCAATTTTTTATCATTAGATTTTCGCGTTATCGCTTTTGATATCTCACCTTTTGATATTTCGTTTCGGAACGCGAATCTCGATAGGTGTGTTAACGGTCGCGAGTAAATGTAAGGGTCATTTTCGTGTGACTTCAGTACTGAAGTATATACCTTCTTGACTTATTTCGCCATCTTGGATAAAAAAATGTCTCTCGTTTATCGGAGCATACATATATTTACGAGAGATTAATCCTACTATTCAACCCCCATATTTATTTCCAACATAATCATATTGCACATGATAATATCACAGTCACGAGGAACAGGTGTTATAAAGTATTTATGGCTACAAGTGTTCTATACGTACCTGAATAATCGAAATTTATCCCAAACTGTATCAGCCGGCATCGCTGGCGGTATCACCATATCGGGATGCGAATCCAGATGTATGAATGTGTTGTCTTGAAAGGGCAGGTGTTTCGAGCCCAGACACCGATATATAAACGGTAAAACCTGAGAATGTCGCAAGCACGGACGTGTAAATACCTGTGCGAAAATCACAACTAATCGCGGTCGCATCGCACACGTAATTATCGACAAGCTGCGCCTAAATCTGCGCAATGGATCGGTTTGAAACTTTGAATCCAGCAGCCACTGACCTCTATGAGCAGCCTGGATACAACTTATAGCGGAAACAAACGAAAACCAATAAAAATGTCGGAATCGTAACATTACCATACCCGATGCGACACGATCTCAAACACCGACTATTGATATTACAAAATGATTTCACGCAATGTTCAACAATTGGAAAATAATTCGTATCATTCGTAAACTCGAAACTAGTACAAAAGCAAATCTAATATTTCACTTGGAAATGCATAACCAAGACATCGGCGCTTCTTTTGTATGTACTTGTATTCGATCACGAGAAGATCGCAATACCTTTCTTTGTGGCGATTTTTAGAATAGATAAAGAATCGTAAAAATCTCGCGATCTTTCTTTGTTTCGAGACTCGTCGGAACAATGTGAAGTATATGTATCAAGACGACATATTACGTCTTCCAATCGTACGTATACGAATGCATACGATTGAAGATCGTAGTGTCGCTGATTTGATAAACAAGCGCTGTGGCTATCACGCCAGTGTAAATACGTAACAATGAAAAAATACATACATATCGTATTCCATATTCAGCGTTAAATGTAATCGTGCGGCTGTAAATTCTATCTTATACGAGCTCCGAGTGAGAGATATTGTTTCAGCTGGAAACTAGGATGCATTTGGCGCTAAATACGATCCAAGTGTGCGTGGATTATAGATAGGTTAGTTTCACGTTGCCACTGTGTTTCGAAACGCAGCAACGCCAGCAGCGCCGCGCCGCGCGCGAGTGGCGAACGCGCGCACGCGCGCGTCATTTTAAACGGTCTATAATTCGCAATTAAACTTCAAACGGAATTTTACTTGCAATTCGTCGTGCGATATTTGCGAAAACTTGAAAATTCATGTATATACACGCCCACCTTACACGTATACGTTCATATGTGCAATTTCGATCATGCCAATGTTGTCTTACTGATGGAATTAATAATCATTTTCTTCCGATTAACGTTGAGTTACAAATAATCGCCTGAAGCGACTTTTTTATGCTTTCGGAGAACGAAGATTTAAATTGCGATATACATATATACTAAAAAAATATATGTAAAGACTTCTCGCTGCGGCCGATATTGTGGAGCGAGAGAAAAAAGTATCTCGTACTTCGCTCCTTCTCCGACCGTACTCCTACTACCTGCTATTATCTCGCGCAAGCGTACGACTGACCTTGGTCGCACGAGGATGGATAGATATTTAAAGACCTTGGATAGATATCTATCCTCGTCGCACGCCTCTCGGGCACAATACCGCAACAAAGCACGAGTCAACTACGTTCTCTCCAGCATACACGTCCGAGCGCGAGAACGCTCACCTCATCGTGGCTCTCTACCACGTAAATCGGCGTCTTCTTGAAGTACTTGAGCGCGAGCGACATGTTCCGCAAGGGCTGATCACGCGGGACTATCGGGCACGAAGACGAGCGCGATCGTTCAACCAACGAGAGGCGTTTAAAGAGGCGATCGATTTTCTAATTAACACGCGGCGGCGATAACGACAACGACGATGACGACAACGTCGAGGACAACAACGACGCGGAAACTCGAATCGAATCGCGGACACGTGGCACACTGCTTCGCGCGAAAGCACGTGGTCACAGACTGAAGTTTTCGCTCTTAGGCGCGCACCTCAAACGATCATTTCGCGAATAAAAGACAGGGGCATCAGGAGGGTCAACCCCGAATTCTCACGAGACGAGTTCCGTAAGGTGGTTCTCTTCTCTTTTCCCCCTCGTTTTTTTCTTTCTCTCGCTCTCTCTCTCACACACACACACTCTCTCTCTCTCTCTCTCTCTCTCTCTTTCCCCCGCGCCTCGGACGGACGGACTGAGACCTTAGAAACCTGATCCTTCTAACTCACAGCCGGCCTGTGTACGACAAGCGAAGTACGGTGTGCCGTATCACTTGGCGATTTAGCATGGACAAAATTATTCCAACGGATCGATACGACTGCCCACAGTCGAAGGAACGCAACGAGTCGTACGCGTAGTGTCTCCGCAAGCGTTATCCGGCATTAAAATTAATTACAAACTGCTAACAGTGGAAACAAGTGTTCGCTCCATTATGATTAACATTATGATCGTTATAATAAGTAACAACGATAATAATCAGATCACTTAAGTGGGAATAAAAGCACACATATTCGAAAGTAATATAATACTCGTTCTCACACATCTTTCTCTTTTGCATTAGCTTTATTACACAAACATGATTGCTTTCATCGTTCATTCAACTACTCAATGCGTAGATTACCGCATAAATAAAAAATCACATATATCAGAAAAATTAACGCAAAACGACAACATAAACGATCATTCGTCCTCCTCTTTTCGCAATCACCTCACACTTGAAATTCGCAAACGCACACCGCGTACGTATTTACACATGTTACAATATTCACACAGATCGCTATCTCAGTATTCTTGTAAGAAAACAACGTACATACGTACAATTAAATTACCGCTGGCAGACAGCGAATGGTAATCGACGAGAGACTAGTGTACACCCGATAATGTTCGATCGATAAGACTAATACGAGACTTAATCGTAAAGGATCGATCGAATTGCATAAGCGCAGGTAGCGTCGAATCGTTAGAGAAAGGTTACCCGCGGCACACACTTCGCCGTCTCCCCGGTGCGTGTTAAGTGCCGCCGATGCGTGACCTTTCGCTATCGATCGATTCACATGTCATTTCTCGCCGCTTGATCATACGCGCACATCGTGAGAACTCGCGGACCCGCTGACGAAAATGTGTCCGCGGTGCCACCACGTTGTCGCTCTACCGCTGCGCTCTAAAACTCCGGAATCGTTCGTATTGTCAAGTCGAATCTAATGATTTTTTGCTTTTGTCTTCTTCCCTCTTCTGATAGATATTCGTTTCTGCTGAGAGACAGTACGCTTTATATAATCATCCGTTCAATCGTTCAATCAGGAAGTATAATCGTTGTTCATTCCATTAAGTAAAACTTGACAATCTCGCACATCGTTCTTCTTTCCAACAATGAGTATCCACTCCAACTTAGTCTTTTGATTACATCTTCTTCGGTTTTCTCGATTTGTAGTGATTAAGGGCGTGAAAAATCATTTTTCTCTTAATCACTACAAATAATCATTACTTATTCAATTTTCTAGATATTGCTCCCCGTCAATCGATGCTTTTGCCAAAAGTCAACAAAGAAACGATCGTCTTGTGGAACCTCATCGAGAACACATTGACGAAGAAAAAGCTCGACCCCTAAGTGAATAGCCGATCCAGAGATTTTGCGATCTTTTCCTGTAATAAGTCGATTATTAGAGATATGCGAACCTAGAATAGAACATATTTTCGTTTTTATAATTATAAACACACACGCCTTGTCGTTAATGCTTTCTAGCAGCCCTATTTCACATATTTTCTTTTGTCAGACATTACATTTAAATGTTTTTTTCTTTATCGTTGATTAGAAGACGCAAGATATAACTTCTTCTTCTATTTGTATTAGCTTTTATATATTATATATAAATATATATAAATATATAAATATATATTTTTTATCATGTATAGATATTAAATGTATATGAACATCTCAAAATCAAAACGAAGACATTAAAATGAAACGTTGTGTCTGTACGATTGTGTGCGATTCAAGCTACAACATAAATTGACATAAATAAAAATGAAATTGTTCAGAAAAGAGATTTTAGAGCGTACAAGCGATCCCAGGTTAACCGTCAGCGTGGTTGCAATTATTCTTCGTACGAAATCCAATTCTCAAGCATCTGCGACTGATAGATTTGTAGATGTAACTGATTGGTTTGCATTCTTAGCGACGACAGGAATCTGTCGACGTCCATGTTCTGCAGGTAAACGTTATTGTATGCCAAGTCGTCGAGTCCACGAGTCTTCGGTGATTCTTCATGATGATTAGAGGTATCCTTACGTACCGAATACCAAGACGTTTTGTCGTGCATATGTGGAAAATAGTGGTTGGTCGCGTATTCGGTGTGTGAAGAGAAGCGGCCGATTTGGTCCAACAAACTCGTCTCTTCCTCCTTTGCATACTCGCAATCTGAAAACTTTCGATCGATGTTAAAATCGCGATTATCTGCGCACGAGTTCAAAGTAGCATAATCTGAAACTCGCGGATGAGACAATCGAGCGGTCGAATCCAGTGAACGTCCTGGGAAAGCTGTCTTCGTGTTTTCAGCTGCATGTGAAGCCGGCATCTTCGAATAAAGATTTACATCAGCTGATTTATTCGTGTCCATATTACTCATCACGTGTTTATCTAATTTTCCATGCAACTCGCTCATGTTATTGTAAAGAACGTTATTCGTTTGTACAGGTGTGTATTTGGTTGACACGTTGCTCTTGGTATCGCTCTGACTAGTCTTCCGCCTGACATTGCTCATAAACTTTGCTCTTTGCGAACAATTAAACACATCCTTGTCGGTATTCGAAACCTCGTCATTATTAAACGATACTGACGATGATGCTCCGTTTTCTCGCATTTCCGTTGGTGATAACATCTTACTGTCGTTTAGATGGCCGATAATTATATCGGTAGAAGTATCGTTCTTCATATCGTCTGGCTCATGTCTACCTTGGTCGTCGTCTACAACTTCGCCAGGACGAGTGTTCTGTACTTTCCGCGAACAGTTTTCATATTCTATTTTTATTCTCGATGCATCTACCTCAGCAGTCGTTTCGTGTTGTTCGGTGTCATCGTCCGAATTTTCAAACTGTTGTACATCATCTTCGCTTAGCTCGACCCGTTTTGAATCGTTTTTCATGGTTTCTTCCTTGAGAAACTCCTTCATATCCGAAAAAGATAAATTTTGATCTTTTATCTTTTGCATCAAATCGCACTTCTCCGTTTCGCTCAGAAACACTATGTAGTCCAATATTTCTGACAGTTTCTCGTTAGGATCTTTGTATTCCTTAAAATATCGTAATGCTTTACGGTATTCTTCAATCTCGGAATCGGACATCATCAAATTTGGCAAGTGTTCATCGGCGTTTGTAGGATAAGGAAAATGCGCGTTAAATTTGCTTCTCGATTCCTCAAAGCGGCTCTTGAATTCTTCTATCTCCCTGTACATATCCAATAAATTGTTATTCGAATTAAGCCCCGAATATACATATGTATCGTTCACTTCTTCCTCGGTGCGCAGTTCCGGAAAAATGCATAAGAATGCTCGCTTCTGCATACTGAAAAAATGTATAAACGCAGAATAGTGCTCCTCGTAAACCAGTTTATGTATAGAATCAGTCATATTCTTAAACATATTATTTAATAATTCAATTTCGAAATGAAGTTTATCCTTCCATCTAGTAGCTGCTGCCAACGGAGTCTCATCGGTTTCATTGAATTCTTCAATACATTTCGATAGATAATCGTACAATTTATTCCGTTCTCGAGATCTAGCATCCAATTCCTCTGTGTTCAATTTCGCACAATGCTCTAAATCGGAATTCTTTAAGGAACACTTATCCTGAGCTATTTCCTGAGACATAGAAATAACGTTATTATCAGTCATGACAGCAGATAATATATCACTCTCCTCTTTCTTGTCAGCTGTTGGGATACTTATACATCCGCAAATTTGCTTGATTTCATCGTCAGATAATTCACGATCTTCAATACTTAAGAGATTCGTTTCAAGAACAACATTTTCGTTTAATTTCTCCAAAACAGAAAGTTCGTCCGTATGAGATTTTACTGTAAACCTGAACATTTTTTCTGAGCTGGATAGATCTGGAAGAATAGGTTCTATAACTGATGCTTCTTCTCGTTTTTCAAATTCGTCAGATTGCTGGACATCGACTTTGCTAATATTATGTTTATTATAAAACAGCTTTCTTTTGTCATCCAAATAGAATTTTTTTCGTTTCGTATATGTTTCATTCGTGATAGCTTTATCGCACTTTTTATCCTTTGACAAGATACTTTTAGATTTGTTTTGATTACCGTTACTAAGATTAGCAGTATTATTTGTACCGCTATTTTCCAACGAACATGTATTTGTGTCAATATGTTTACTGTTGTAAGAGGACGTTGAGAACGTTGTGTTTTCTGATGTAAGTATCGCCATAGGTGTGCCGTTTTCAGATTCAAGAATTCCTTTGTCAATATCTGAAAGCTCTGTGCCATTTGCCTCGGGCTTCGAGTAGACTTTCTCGAAAACTGTAATATTGTCAGCCCATACATCTTCCACATAATCAGGACCGAGTTTGAACAGATAAAAGTTTGGTCCACCAACCGAGATTAATAATTCTCTAAACGATTGAAGCTCGTTTTCAGAGACAATTGTGATGGAAATTCCGTGGGTTCCATAACGTCCAGCTCTGCCAATTCTATGTAAATATGTTGCTGCATCCATAGGTATATCCAAATTTATAACCAAGTTAACATTTTCTACATCGATGCCTCTCGCAGTTAAATCCGTGGTCATCAAAATTCTACAATTAAAATTCCTCAATTTTTCCATTATTTCCAACCTCTTGGCCATATCCTGACTTCCAATGATGTATGTGGATGAAAAGCCCATAGAATTAAGTTTATTGCTGACCGATTGAGCTCTGTAATAATAAATATATGAGTAATCATTTTACGATTTTAAAGAAGCAACCAATCAATAAAACATAATTAAGAAATAGACTATATACCGTGATTGGTAATTTGAGAAAACTAGAGATTGCTTAAATGGTATTTTTGTAAATATTTTCTGCAACTCGTCCACTTTTATTTGTACCTAAAAATATAGATAAATGATAAATTCATCTGTTAACATGAAATCAAATTTGCTTTTTCTCTAAATCTCTAAAAATTCTCTAAATCTCTACAAATTCTCTAAATCTCTAAAAATTAATGAAACCTGTTTCATGGCATTAAGATGTGAAGAAACCACCACCAAAAATTGTTTAATTCCGACTAGAATTGGTCCATCAAGATCTGGTGATATTAACACTGGTGAGCACATATACATTTCTAAAAACTTTTCTAAATCTCCAGGATAAGTAGCACTCGAAGCTATAACTTGTTTGTTTAATGACAATTTGGAAAATATATAACTGTAAGAAAAACAGAAATTAATATAACTTTAATAATTCTTAAGTTGATGTTACATTTTCAATTTTAATAATTCATAAACTTCATACTGACTTGATATCTTTTTGAAAGTTTGTTTCCATTAATTTGTCTGCCTCATCAAGGACAAATAACCTAACAGTTGAAACCTTAAGCAGTTTCTTATCAATTAAATGCTTAATTCTACCTGGGGCGCCAACTGCTACATGGCACTCATTCAGTCTTTTCTTATCATCTTCCACAGACAATCCTCCCACAAAATATTCAACTTTTAATCCTACAACAACAGAGATAATTTTAAAAAATGAAAAGAGAAAATTTTCCTCATAGAATACTCAATGCAGTAATATTATATCAATTACCTTTTATTTCTGAACCTATTGTTTTAAGAACATTAGATATTTGAATAGCTATCTCTCTGGTAGGTGCTACTATTAAGACTTGCGGAGATGATATTTGAATATCTAAAATTTCCAAAGCTATAATACCAAACACAGCTGTCTTTCCAGTTCCTGATTTTGCACGTAATATTAAATCTGCAAAATATCAACATTTTTAGTACACAGAGTTATCATTGTTATTACTCAGTATATTTTAAGTATATGTATATTGTTTCGTAATACCAAATCCACAGCGTCCTATAGGAATAGCTTTTAACTGTATAGGAGATGGTCGCTCAAATCCAGCAAATGACAATCCATCCATAATTTTTTCTGGAAGCCCCATTTCCAAAAATGTAACATTTTCTTGTATCTTTATATCGCTTGTTCTTAATTTCTTATTTATGTCATGTGCAGTATATCGAAACATTTTCCTATACAAACATAAGAATATACAAATGTATTAAATATCAAGAATGAGGCAAATTACACAAAATAAACAATTGAAAATAAAAAGTTTCTTTTTTCACAATCACCATTTCGCCTTTCATTGAATTCTTCTTTATAAATTTGATTATTTTATATCATGTATCAATTTTTTAATTGAATATTATTACATACTAAACACGTGCTTATTATTTATTTAAAAACAAGTAATTTCTTTGTAAGGACACTAAATATTATATATAGAAATAAATATTAATAAATATATATTTATAATATATCATATAACATATATATACCTATCTGTTGAAAAAAAAGATCGATTGAATATAAAAAGAAAAATATAAACGTTTAAAGCGTAAAACGTTCTGTTTTCCAATCGCTTTTAATCAAACTTACCGTCACAGCCATACATTATAAATATGTAGAGTTCCGACTCACTATTTGGTTATGCTACGGATTAATGAAGGTTCGTCTCCTCCTCCGTTGAGTTGTACTACTTGCCTTTAACTAGCTTTTGAAGTTATATTTTTCGAAAGTATTTAGAAAAATAATCTCATTCTTTTATTCAATTATTAATTGAAAATAAAAGGGTCTTTTAACTTCTCATTTTATAAATCCCGTATTAATAATAAATAAAATGCAGGTAAAATTTGTCTTTCTAGAATGAGATAGGTATATTTTGTTTCACTCCAACTTATTGCATCAGTTGGTGCAAAGTTTTTGGAAGAAAGGTTAAGGTCATTCTACAACGTGTCGTAAGTTGTAAGCCGTAAGAATTGGCGACTCACAATCATTTATTATAAAAATAATCGGCCATAATTGGTCAGTTCTTACGGCTTACAACTTACGATACGTATTGTAGAATGACCTTTACTTGTTCGAGCTCTTCTAACCAAAATATTAAAAATGAAGAAATATAAATTTCTATATTTGACAGCTGTAGCAAGTTAATGTAAAGAAAACTATTTAAATAACGTTTCAATATGGGGGGTAAGCACTGCATGAAAGATATTTTATATAAAACTTTTTTAAATATACTAGAACTGAAATTTGTGCCAGAATCTACATTGTTTAGCTCTGCTTAGCTATCATATTATATATCATCTTGAAAGTGACACATTAGTAAGATCACAGTTTAAATCAAGAGGTATATAGAACTAGCACTTATAAGTAGAGACTCGTATGATTTGCACATTAAATTAGGTTTAACCACTTATTTAGTACAGTTGTGAATCGATTCTGATAAGATATTGTAATAACATCTATTATGGAATACTTAATTGTTACTGCTGTTAGTCGTAATAGGACCTCTGGACATCTGTTATCATTTCAAAACATTTAATTATTTTAAGAGAAACAATGTTATTCACATAATATCCATTCTAATATTCAGCTCAATGCTGTTAATATTTTGCCAATTCCTATCTTTTGGCAATAAATTTTTATATTTTAGTATTATATTATGCATTATATATATATATATATGTGTGTATATAACATATATGTATATATAACATTAACATATTTTAATTACAGTATTTAATGTTATACATTATAGTATACAGTGTTGTGCGTCAGCAATCTTAAAGATATGTTACAAAAACAGGAATATATATGTGTATATTTTGCAAGTCATTTTTCCCAACATTGTTTTTAAATGTACATCAATTACCACTTTTGTTATCCCCTTTTAGTTCTTTGAAATGTGATAAGCCAACTTAATATACTGTATTCTCTAGTCTAAAGTCTTTGAGTATTCTACAATGTTCAAGTTGTAGATCAACAACTCTCTCGAGACTGTACCACAAGTGTGGCAGTTACAAAGGTCATAGCTTAATAGAATGAAGTTTTTACTATCCTTTAGTGGAATTTTTGACAAATATTATACAATATTTATTAATGTAAAGAATTTCAACATTATAATTGATATATCTTCACAAAAGTTAATTATTTTGATTCTATAGTTTTATTTTATATTTTTTAATGTCTCAAATAATTTTTTGGGTTCCTTAACTTTTTTCCATTGATATAGAATATCTTGTATATTCTGTTATGAATGTGATTCAATGTCTAAATTGACACAATTGTACATCAACCTCAATAAATGGTTATATTATGTAATATCCTAATATATTGCAGAATCAACAGATATATCCATAGTAAGGATTACTATTAAGATTTTTAACAAATACTATCTTTCACAAGAGTCTTCTATGTCAAAATTCAAGATATGCTGAGAATTGAATAATAGAAAATAACATTATAGATACTAGTATATTGTGAGATGTTTTGCAACTTGACACTTGATTCTAGTCTTACATAACGTCATATTAAATATGACGCATCAATTGGTACAACGTATGAAGTAAGATGTGCCGCGATGAGCTACAGTTATCGATAGAGACTCGTACGCGTAGTATCATTCGCACACAAAAAGCGGTTTTGACAATCTGCGCGTGCATTTGTGAAACCAATTTGGATAAGATTTGCAACGAAATTTACCATGGAGTACTGGACGATATTGTTATCCATTTTGATAGGAGTTCTGGGAATATATTATCTTTATAAAAAATTTCATTACTTCAAAAGACATAATGTTATTCACATAACGCCCACTCCTATATTCGGTTGTATGACGCCGTTTATATTTCGCCAAATGTCAATTGGTGATTTCAGCGAGAAACTATACACTTTCAATCCAGATGCCAAGTATATTGGAATCTATGCCATGACGCAACCTGTCATTCTGTTTCGCGATCCAGAACTCATCAAGGAGATTTTCATCAAGAACTTTGAGGCCTTTCCTAATCGCCTGGGATTTAGTTTCATACACGATCCCTTATTTTCAAAGAATTTATTTTCTCTTCAGGGGCAGAAATGGAAAGACGTGAGAACATTACTGAGTCCTGCTTTTACATCCAGCAAAATAAAAACCATGTTTACATTAATGTCGGAGTGTGCAATAGATTTTACGAAATCTCTGTCGGAAATGTCAGCAAATAAAAGCGATATGGATATGAAGGACGCTTTCACCAAATACACGAATGATGTGATTGCCTCGTGCGCTTTTGGAATTAAAGTTAATTCTATAAGTGACCCCACGAACAAATTCTACGTTTACGGTAAAGAAGCCATAAACTTCCAAGGTCTACGTGCCTACAAATTCTTTTTTTTCTCAACCTTCCCGTGGCTTACACGACTTCTGGGTTTAAAATTCCTAAGCGACGAAGTAGGACATTTCTTCAGGAATATTATTAAGTCCACAATTCATACCCGTGACACTGAGAATATTACACGTCCTGACATGATACAACTGATGATGGATATCAGAGGTAAACGTGAGTCTGAAAGAGAACTCAGCATTGAGGACATGACTGCACAAGCCTTTATCTTTTTCCTCGGTGGTTTCGAAACTAGCTCTACCGCAATGTCCTTCATTGCTCAGGAAATCACGGCAAATCCAGACGTCCAAGCAAATTTACAGAAAGAAATTGATAAAACTCTGCAGGATTCAAACGGTGAAGTGACTTATGAAGTTATTAATCGTCTTGAATATTTAGACGCAGTAATAAACGAAGTTCTCAGATTGTACCCACCTATCGCCTTCTTGGAAAGATTATGTGAAAAAGATTATGAATTACCACCTTCACTGCCAAATGAGAAGCCTTTTACTTTGAAAAAAGGTATGGCTGTTTGGGTTCCAGTTTATTCACTTCAGCGTGATGAGAAATACTATGATGTACCAGAGAAATTTAATCCAGAGAGATCCTTGGGCAACAACTCTCTATGTTACATACCATTCGGATTAGGACCGCGAATGTGCATAGCCAACAGGTTTGCCATGCTGGAGATCAAGGTCTTGATATTTCATCTACTGGCGCGGTACGAGCTGAAACCTTCCTCAAAATCCATTTTTCCCATAAAATTAAGCAAAAATTCAAATATCACAATGACTCCGGAGGGTGGATTCTGGTTGAGTGTTCAACGTAGAAGCAATATGCATCCTACAATATTACAGTAAAAAGATTCGAAGGCAGTGTTAATAACTTTTGAACGCGTTTCAAATGCATCTACGGTTGACCGATCTATATGAATTTTGATTATAGATAATGGGAGAGAAAATATTTCATGGAAATTCTATATATATATAAACTTTGTTATGAAAATTGAATAATAACGTACATTATGTTAATTATATCTTTTCATATTTTAAGATTATATTAGTATTATATTACTGTAGTTTAATTACAATATTTAATGTTATATGTATATTGTTATATGTATAATGTTATATGACATACATCATCAACAATTATCTATACGAAAATATCTTAAAAATTTATTATAAAAACTGAAATACACACGTATATGTATGTGCGTGTATGTATGCATATTCAGCAAGTTATTTTATTCTTTTAACATCGCTTTCAAATGTACGTGATCATCGCTTTTTACTATCCCCCTCCATTAAAATGTGATAAGTCAATTTAACATACTATGTTCTCCAATGTTCCAGTCGCAAATCAACAATTCTCTCAAGACTATACTATACGTATAATAAGTGCAAAGATCATAGTTTAAAGTCCATGGCACACAGATGTTTATTTTTGTGCTGGATTTAGTGAAATTCAGTTATTACTGTATTTTAATTACAGTGTTTAATGTTATATATTATGACATAATACATCACATCGACAATTAACTATACGAAAATATCTTAAAAATTTATTATAAAAACTGAACACATGTATGTGTGTGCGTGTATGTATTGGGCCTGTTCTTTATAGCTACACTGCAAAACTAATGCAATAAGTTAAAATGAGCCAACTATGGCTATTTTCCAGCAAGGGTCACAGAGGACACAGTGTAATACTGTGTCCAATACAGAATGTTCCAACAATGACACAGTATTACACTGTTCTACACAGCAAAAGTCTGAGTTGCAGCATGTAAATCATATCATTGCTATCAATATTTCGAAATATTTTATGTAACAGATAGTAATTGTTTTTATTCCTTTAGTACGAATATAATTTACAATAGTAAATATATTTAATAAGTGTAAACGTAACCTACAATATATATGTTATATGTATCTTTATATTATACTTATTTATATGAATAAACACCGCTCCTCTCACTTTAATGTTGTCTTCAAGTCCTCTCACGGGACGCGCAGTCTATTTATATATGTCTATGAATTATATGCTTATAGATAGTTCCGTAAGATATTCATAAAAATAACAATGACAAACCGTAATGCACTCTGGTGTTACACAAAGAAACCAAACAGCGATCCAACAAATACTTTATACGGCGCAGCACAGTGATTACATTTGTCGTATGACAATCTTTTCGAATACGTTGATTGGTTAACAAACAGAATATTTTTAGGATTGCTTCGCGTACGCCAATCAATGTATCCGAAAAGCTTGTCGTGTGATACATGTAATATTAGGCTAATTTAGCGTGTCATAGCTCGAAAACGGCCTATATTTTCTCTTATTCTAACTTATTGCACTACTTCAGCAGTACCGCGATTCTGTAACTCGTTATTAGAGTTAACGACACTTTCGTTATCGTTGCGCAGCTTTTGTATACCGTAGAAAAGCTGCGCAACAATAACGAAATCGTCGTTAACTTCAATAACGAGTTACAGAATCGCAGCACAGTGCAGCTATAAAGAATAGACCCATTATCTCGTCGGTTCTGTAGCACGTTTACATGTAGGATTGATTGGTTACTGCGATATTCCCTAACCAACTTCCATCGCATGGCAAACGTGATACATTCTGCGTGCAACCTGAGAGCAGAGAGGTCCTTTCCTTCCTTCAATATATGGCTTTGGGCTTGTGAGAGTAGGCCCATACGCCATTCTTCTCGATAAAGGAGATAAAAGAAAAACAGGGACAACGTGTACCTTGTCCCTACGATCAAAAAATATGCGCAGTTACAAGAACCACATCCAATCGCCACGGAAGCGAACAAAAGACTTTAGAGCAGAGAGGTGCAACCAGAGAGGAACCTGAGAGTGTCCAACACGGCGTTTTTGGCGACACCGACTTTTCACACTGGGAAGAAAGCCACGGTAGAACGGAAACTGTGGCCTAGCAAACGAAAATGCTGAGCTCTGTCACGCTAGAGGCGACTGAGTCGTTCTTGCGGCGAAGCGCCGATGTCCTGTGGACGCGTGAAGAGAGAGCTCAGCGTGCTCAAAGACGCGATCGCGTCGCTGGTCAAATCGCCAAGATCCTTGACGGATGCTTGGAAATGAGAGTGAGAGAGAGAGAGAGTTCGCAAACTCCGAAAGGAGACAGTACCACCGCTCCTGAAAGCCAAGTTCCCAGACGGACGCTTGGAAAAAGAGAGTTCCCCCTGTCCCACACGGAGGCGACCAAAGCCCGCTCCTGAAGCGTGGCAACGCAGGAACTCACAGCTGAACATAGAAGATTTCAACCATAAAGCCTCAACCCAGCAGGGTATATGAGCACCGCAGTCAACTCAGCAAAGTGTAGAGTGCGTTGGTTTGAATCTCGACTAAACACTAAAACTTCTCTAGGAAAGCCTAGAGAGAACGTCGGTAAAGAGGGGCGCTACTCTAGTCGCAAAGACCAAATACCAGGGATTGCCACAATCGGCGTTGGGCCATGCGAACGCGCGCTGCTGGCGATCGCGCTCGGTTATATCACCCGGGCAGCCGATTCTTAGTTGCGAGCAGCGGAACTAGTGAGCGCGTCATGTAGCGGCCGCGAACGGCACTAGTGGCCACGCGCGGAGTGTCGGCGGGAGCGCCGCGTGCTTGCCTGCGAGAAACCAACGGTTAGAGATACAGGCCTGGCTCTGGTACCAAATTAAAGTCCTCTCAAAACCCTACATTTTCGACTACATGGACGACTCTCTACTCCCAGTAGAAGCGGAGATATCGACGGAGGAAGGCTGGATATCGACGGAGAATGGCTGGAAAACTTTAACTTTCGATATCTCCTAAACGGTTAGAGATACAGGCCTGGCTCTGGTACCAAATTAAAGTACTTTCAAAAGCCTACATTTTGCCGTAAATGGCGACTCTCTACTCCCAGTAGAAGCGGAGATATCAACGGAGAAAGGTTGGAAAAGTTTAATCTTCGATATCTCCTAAACGGTTAGAGATACAGGCCTGGCTCTGGTACCAAATTAAAGTCCTCTCAAAACCCTACATTTTCGACTACATGGACGACTCTCTACTCCCAGTAGAAGCGGAGGTATCGACGGAGGAAGGCTGGATATCGACGGAGAATGGCTGGAAAACTTTAACCTTCCATATCTCCTAAACGGTTAGAGATACAGGCCTGGCTCTGGTACCAAATTAAAGTCCTTTCAAAACCCTACATTTTGCCGTAAATGGCGACTCTCTACTCCCAGTAGAAGCGGAGATATCAACGGAGAAAGGTTGGAAAACTTTAATCTTCGATATCTCCTAAACGGTTAGAGATACAGGCCTGGCTCTGGTACCAAATTAAAGTCCTCTCAAAACCCTACATTTTCGACTACATGGACGACTCTCTACTCCCAGTAGAAGCGGAGATATCGACGGAGGAAGGCTGGATATCGACGGAGAATAGCTGGAAAACTTTAACCTTCGATATCTCCTAAACGGTTAGAGATACAGGCCTGGCTCTGGTACCAAATTAAAGTCATTTCAAAACCCTACATTTTGCCGTAAATGGCGACTCTCTACTCCCAGTAGAAGCGGAGATATCAACGGAGAAAGGTTGGAAGACTTTAATCTTCGATATCTCCCAAACGGTTAGAGAAACAGGCCTGGCTCTGGTACCAAATTAAAGTCCTCTCAAAATCCTACATTTTCGACTACATGGACGACTCTCTACTCCCAGTAGAAGCGGAGATATCGACGGAGGAAGGCTGGATATCGACGGAGAATGGCTGGAAAACTTTAACCTTCGATAACTCCTAATCGGTTAGAGATACAGGCCTGACTCTGGTACCAAATTAAAGTCCTTTCAAAACCCTACATTTTGCCGTAAATGGCGACTCTCTACTCCCAGTAGAAGCGGAGATATCAACGGAGAAAGGTTGGAAAACTTTAATCTTCGATATCTGCTAAACGGTTAGAGATACAGGCCTGGCTCTGGTACCAAATTAAAGTCCTCTCAAATCCCTACATTTTCGACTACATGGACGACTCTCTACTCCCAGTAGAAGCGGAGATATCGACGGAGGAAGGCTGGATATCGACGGAGAATGGCTGGAAAACTTTAACCTTCGATAACTCCTAATCGGTTAGAGATACAGGCCTGGCTCTGGTACCAAATTAAAGTCCTCTCAAATCCTTACATTTTCGGCTACATGGACGACTCTCTACTCCCAGTAGAAGCGGAGATATCGACGGAGGAAGGCTGGATATCGACGGAGAATGGCTGGAAAACTTTAACCTTCCATATCTCCTAAACGGTTAGAGATACAGGCCTGGCTCTGGTACCAAATTAAAGTCCTTTCAAAACCCTACATTTTGCCGTAAATGGCGACTCTCTACTCCCAGTAGAAGCGGAGATATCAACGGAGAAAGGTTGGAAAACTTTAATCTTCGATATCTCTTCATCCTATCTCGCGGCCGCGTGGCGGAGCCAGGCAGTCCGCCACGCGGCCGCGACCTGATGACAATCATGATGCTGCTTGTGACAACGTGATGTTATGTCGTTGCCTGCGCATTTCCGAACACTTACTAACTTTATATTAAATTAAAAAAAAAAATTTAATCTAAACATAAAAGAAATTGCTGCCATTTCTATACCAGACAAGTACAAACGAAAATTCGTCCACTACAAACATCTACGTATTATGTGGCTTCGATTTAGTTGGTTTAGGACGCAGCCCCCCCGATGGGGTTGAAGAAACACCCACCCTTCGTACTATAACTGCTGCCATTTCTATTCTAGACAACTACAAACGAAAATTCGTTCACTACAAACGTCTACGCATTATTTGGCTTCGATTTGGTCTGTTTAGAGCGCAGCCCCCCCCCCCCGATAGGGTTGAATATACTATCACCCTTATTACAAAAATTGCTGTCATTTCTATACAGGATAACTACAAACGAAAATTCTTTCACTACATATTTCTATAAACCCATTAGCATCGATTAGAATCGGTTTCAAGTCAGCCCCCACGACGGGGCGTAAATAGCTACCCTTAGAACTTAAGGGGTTGTAACTTTTTTCCTGGTCAACTACAAACGAAAATTCTATCACTACATATTTCTACAAACGATTTGGCTTCGATTAGGTCAGGTTTTAAGTCAGCCCTCCATTTTGTGGGGCTGGCCATTTTTTCAACCTTTGATAACTTTATTTTTTAACTACAAACGAAAAGTCTTTCACTACATATTTCTACAAACGATTTGGCGCAATTTTATGCAAAAAAAAGTTTTTTTTAAAAGTCGGGGGCTAACTTCACATAGGTTGTCACCGAGCATAAGCTACACAATTATTTGCAGCTGTAATTACGTGTTTCGGAGTTACAAGCTACGAAAGGTGGAAGAATGAGGCTCGACAATGACCTGTCGCGAAATATTAATTATCGAAACATGTGTCATAAGGTTTTTTAATCTAGGCCCAAAATAACAAATCCTCGTGAACTGCATTGAGCTGCGATTAGGCCTTTCGGAGTTACATGCGACGAAAGGCTTCCTTCGGTACTCTCACGACTCACTCCACAGTTATTGAACAACATTCTACTGTAATACACGCGCGAATTTCACTTTCGACACTCCCGCTGGCGATGATTGAAACGCGCGACTCAGCTATAGCGAGCAAAAATCACGAGAATTTACGGGCAACGGTTCCTCACACGACACTCAGAGGCAGGTATGGTGTCCCTCGGCGATGTCATATACGCCTGTAAAACAATCGAAAGCCATGACAGGCATATACGCATACGCATATAGGCGTACTGTACAGCGCGAGAGAAGCGAAGAAGGAGAAGTGGTGGGAGACGTTCCGATGTTGCATCCTTATCGCACGTCGCACGATCGAGAAAGAAAGCATTACCAGACGTGGTACGGTTAATCCCCAATAGCTGTCTCATTCACTCTACGCTTGAATGCAGGCAATATGAGTGAGACAGCTATAGAAACACCGCGCTGTCTCTATAGGTGTCTCGCTCGCTCTAATAGCCATGTATCGCGCTTTCCTCTTTTCTTCTTAGCAGAAATGCTGATTAAGGAGGCAATCCTGTCTGTAGACCAGAAAAATAAGCTATTTTCGCGAATTTTTGTTTTCGGAAACTAAGCAGACGATTGATTTCAAACTTATAAAAATAATAATATATATTTTATTGATGAGAATGAATTTTTATAGCGTTATAAAACAGAAAAACGCGATACATTTTTTATGCCGTAAGATATGTCAAATTGCGAGCATAAATGCCATTGGCTATTACAACGAATGAGACACCTATAGAGATAGCGCGGTGCATATAAAAAATTAATATTTTTTTATTTCGCTAGTTCACACGATAGATAGACATGTTTCGAATATGTAATTAGATGCTGAAGTCGACCGATCGACTTTTTTATATAAAAAACAGTTTTTTCTCTGATTTCAGGAGATGCTATATAGCGTCTCGTTATTATTATTGTAATTTTTATTATTATTAAATGTCTCCTAATTTTTGTTTATATTTTCAAGAGCAGAGCCTATAATTTAAGTAGCATTTTAAGGAAGATGTTGCATTTATTTTCCCTCCTTCTCGTAGTCTTTTCAAAAGTAAAGATATGTTGCGTCTGAAAAGAATTGCACAATTTGACATATCTTACGGCATAAAATAAGTTTTTTCGTAAATTTCATGAAATATCGTTTTCTTGCAAATAAAATATTCTTAACGTAAAATCATCGATATTATGACGATTTTTCAAATATAATTTTTAAATGCCTTAAAATATTAAAAAAGTAGTTCATTTTTTATTTCCTTAATTCAAACGAGTTAGCGGCAATTTCGTAGATTAATTATTTTACTTGCGTTTTTGTCCTAGTCTACTGTATTTCGAGATTTTATAGGAACCGTGAAACGGCGCGCGCCTAAACACGTCACGTTATTTTTTGTATATTTGCTACATTATTATTCATATAACGCTATAAAAATTCATTCTCATCAATAAAATATATATTATTATTTTTATCAAGTTTGAAATCAATCGTCTGCTTAGTTTCCGAAAAAAAAAATTCGTGAAATTAGCTTATTTTTCTGACCTATAGACAGGATTGCCTCCTTGATCGGCATTTCTGCTAAGGAGAAAAGAGGAAAGCGCGATATATGGCTATTAGAGCGAGCGAGACACCTATAGAGACAGCGCGGTGTCTCTACAGCTGTCTCACTCATATTGCCTGCATTCAAGAGTAGAGGGAGTGAGACAGCTATTGGGGACACCATTAACCGTACCACATCTGGTAATGCTTTCTCTCTCGATCGTGCGACGTACGATAAGGATGCAACATCGGAACGTCTCCCACCACTTCTCCTTCTTCGCTTCTCTCGCGCTGTACAGTACGCCAGTATATGTATATACGTATATGCCTATCATGGCTTTCGATTGTTTTACAGCGTATACGACATCGCCGAGGGGCATCATACCTGCCTCTGAGTGGACACATCACCCCGCAGCCAGCGCCATAACTGATCACGATTCACAATATACACAGTAGCGACACACACTGTTGGATTTGTGTAGTCAAACATGAACTGCGCATTGCTATCTTGTTTCTGATCATAACTGGTAGAGTCCACTTGAGACTACAAACGCTTTGAGCCCTGAAAGGAAGGCTATTATACGGCGTTCAAAGCATTTACAACATTTAATGATTCGTATTCTATATGATTTGATAAAAATTTAAATAAATATATATTTAGGGAGAAGAAAAGAGAGTAAAGCCAGCGTCACATGGTGCTGGATTACTTGCTGGATGAAAATACTGCGTTCTGATTGGTACATTTCCGAAGATGGATGGAAATGCACCAATTAGAATGCAGTATTTTCATCCAAGAAGCAATCCAGCACGGAACCAAGCATCATGTGCCGCTGGCTTTGAAGATCGGACTGCCATCACATGCAGGTTTTACCGTCGTGACCTGAAAGTTGATGTAGCATCGTAGTTCCCTTCTCAAAATGGGTGCAGATGGCGCCCTTTCCTAGTGCGGAAAATCGGTGGCGCCGAAATCGCCATGTTGGCCGCTCTCAGGTTCCTCTCTGGTGCAACTTACATGAGTATCGATTCATTGTTCGTACGCAAATCGTCCATTCTATTGCTAGTGCAAATTTTCGAGACTAATGTAAATAATGTTGTGGAGCTATAGGTCTTGAAAAGTTGTATGTTAATGTGATTGTCTGATCGGAATATTCTCATTAATCTGATTTTTGAAAAGAAATAAAGCAAAGATGGGTCGCCGCTCAATCAATACTACGAAAAGTGGGAAGTATATGAATCCCACTGATCAAGCACGTGAGTATTATATACGGATAGAAACATAACCAAGAGGATATGACCAAAAAGTGTATTCTGTACTCACTAAAATACTTGAAAATACGTTTCATTTTACAGGTAAAGAGGCGCGTAAAAAAGAATTAAAAAAGAATAAGAAACAAAGACAGTTAGTCAGAGCGGCTGTATTGAAAGGAAAAGATCCGGCACAGATTATCGAAGAAATGGAAAAGATTGATCAGATGGGTTAGTATAGATGGGTTATACTTTAACTTTAGAGTAATGTATGTCATATATTTAGAATATCTAGAAAATAACAGATTTTGTCAATAATTTTCTTGTTTGACATCTTTTGATACATAGAACAGAATTTGAGAAATTAAAATAGCTATATGTTTGTTTTTTATAAGTATATTTTTAGAGATATTTTATATTCTTTCTATTCTCTTTATTCTGCTACTAAATGTCCATACAACTTTATTTTACATACAAGCATTGTAACTTAGTGTTGCTATAAAAACAGCTATAAAAAGTACCTAAAGATAAACATAAATAATTGATGTTTTTTAAAGTTTGGGAATTTGTCAAATAGCCCATATATAAGAGTATTAAAGGAGAGAAGTATAATTTAAACTGTTTAATATAATCATTTATTTTAAATCTTTATTGTACATATTCATGTATTGTATCTTTATCTATTATATATATTTGTAATTTCTTTTCTAGAATACAATGTAATGCAACCACCACCTCTGAATGAAAAAGTGTTAAAGGATAAACGCAAGAAACTTAAGGAGACTCTAGAGCGAGTCCTAAAAATGTATGTAAGTAAGAAATAGCAAATAATTATAAGTTCCTTCTATTAAATATTGGTAAGCTTACAATATCAAAGAGAGAGAGAAAAAAAAGAGAGGGAGAGAATGAGCGAAAGAGAAAGTGAGAATTATAATTCTTTAATAGCATAATTAATATAACTTTCCCTCGCTTTTTAGGCAAAAGATGATCAAGAGAAATGGGCAGAATTGAAGGAACAATTAATACAATACGAACGCAGGAGGATAGACTTAGTTTCTTATTTTGAAGCAGTACGACATGCACAACAAGTACAAGTTGATGAGATTCCATTGCCATCGGCGGCTAATGATATATCTAGAATGTATCAGGGTAGGTATATCATACCTAGATATCAGTAAAAAATTAATGTTATATATTATAACTAATACACCTCCCAACAGGTTCCTTGACGTCGCAGATTCCACTACCAGATATGCCACAACCACCTGCGCATATGTATCCACCTCATCCTCATTATATATCGCAGCATCATCCTTTGATGAATATTCCGATACCACCAAGTATCTTGAAGAAGACCAGTGCATATGCAAATGCTCCAGCTGTACCTACATTAGCACCTAATAAGGAACCGCCTGGTGTACCACCGTTTCCACCACCTGATTTATCAAGCGACGACGAGGAAATGGCTGAAAATGTATGTGATTGAAATCAGTTACTAGCCATGTATGTAAATTATGAGCAAATAATTTTAACGTTTGTTTAATCGACAGGTGAAAGAACCACCAGCGAAATCTAGAACGATACGATTTGCCGACGACAAGGAGGACGGCAAGCAAGAATCGGAGAGCAAGGAAAAAGACATGGAAAAGGAAAAGGAGAAAGATAGAGACATGGCGAAAGTTAAACCGACGACGTTACAGCAGAAGATGCTGGCGATGGCTGGGCAGGATATCGATCAGTTTATGCGAGAGATGGAGGTCGTCCATAAGAAAAGGGAGACCGAACGCGCCCAGGATCTGAACGCACGACTGTCATTGCTCGAAACAGAAAGCGAGAGCAATTCCAAGTCCAATAGCAATAACAAGTCCAACAATAAAGCAGACGACGAAGAGCTGGAACCACCCGGTGCGTCGGATCACCTCTCTAGTCATGGCCAACATACGTCTCATCCGCATACACAACACACGCAACAACATACGATGCCACCGATGGGTCTGCCGCCTCCGCCTTTACTTTACAGGCCCCCGCCGCCTCCGTTACACATCAGAATGCCGCCGCCACCACCGCCTCGCATCGGACTCCGACTACCGCCTGGTAATTATCACTTGTTCATGTATTAAAATTTCTTCCTGTGTGTCTGTTCGTCCTTGACGTCCGACGTCCAACGGAATTAAATGCAGACATATATGACTGCGCATATAGAATACAAGAGATTCATTTCTTTTTTTTTTTCACAGGCCCTCCGCCTGGAATGCCGAGGATATTAAGACCCGGGCCGCCTAGCATACCAAGAATGCCACCGCCGCAAATGCAAATGTCAAACATGTCGAATATAGCGAATCCCCAACTGCAAACACAATCCGCATCGGTTGGGCAACCCAAGACACCCAATGTCCTCTCTGCCGCGCCGCAGTTAATCAACAGAAAGGACAAAGATGGAAAGAGTAGCACCACCATAGAAGCGAAGCCGCAAATTAGGAATCTGGCTGCAGACGTTACTAGATTCCTGCCGACGTCTCTGCGCGTCAAGAGAGACGATAAAAAGAAATCGAGCAGTATTTCGAGAATTACGGAAAGATTACCGGAGACACAGCCACCGAGAACTTCGCAGCCCAAAACGAAAGACGACGCGTACATGCAGTTTATGCAGGAAATGCAAGGATTACTCTGAGCTCTTGAAAAAGAATGTGTACTTTCTTTTTCTTTGATCGAAGCGGTCGATATCCTTCTTGCTTATGATAAACAATGCGGTTTTATCACAATTATGTATTGTCATTTGATGATTTTAATCTCAGAAATGTATGTATGTATTTAAGTGTACGAGCCGAATGTATAAAAGTTAAGACGTAGGAATTTGTAGTGGAATAATTTGGAACAATAACACTAGCCATATTCGACGAAACTGAATTATGAGATATCCGAAATTTTATTCTTTTGAATTGGAATTGTTGCTTTTATCGCTCAACATCGTCTCTGTTGTTAATTCGCAAAATTGTTAAGTCGCAACTCAAATAATACTTCAATATTTTGCAGACTTCAATGTTTGCAAGATTTCAACAGTTTATTTGCTATGCAGCAGTGGACAACGTAATAGAAAATGGTTCATCTTTGATTATCGGTTGATAATATTTTCTTGGAAAAACGTGAAACATTCGCATTGACGTCATCCGAGAACATTAACATCCCTCAAGAGATGTATATTGAAAAAGGATTTTATAACGTACGTATTGTTGCAATAAATTACAGAAATATATCACGGTTGTATAATTAATGCAGCGTCGTGCATTGTATTTAGTAAATTTTTTCAAAAATATACATTGTTCATAAGAATTATTGATAATAAAACTTATTTTATACTTATGAGAGAACATACAAAACTATATTCTGAGATATCTTCCGATTTGCACCTTTCCGATCTAAGCTTAATATAATTTGCAATTAGCATATTCAGAATATCTTAACAATCGATGCCGCATTAATGACCTCAAATGACATACCAGCAACGTCAATTGACGTCTTTGGTTTAACTAGGAAGAATTTTTAGTTCGCTTGATCGCTGTTGCCGCTATCGCAGGATGCATGTCGCTCCTACATTGAACATTCAACCAGAATCCGCCGTCCGGTGTCATCGACAAATTTTTTTTGCTAAATGCCATATCCGTAGTTTTCGCGCAAGGTTTCAGCTCGCATCGTGCCAGTAGATGAAACAGCAAGACTTTGATCTCCAGTATGGCGAACCTATTAGCTATACATATACGCGGCCCTGACCCAAACGGTATATAACACGGAGAGTTGTGATAGGTATTGCTGTCCAAAAATCGCTCCGGACGAAATTCCTCCGGTTCATCGTAATACTTCTCATCATGATGAAGTCCGTAAATCGAGGCCCAGACAAGCATACCTTTCTTCAATGTGAACGTCTGCCCTCCCGGTAACGCAGGAGGCAATTGAAAATCCTTTTCGCATTCTCTTTCCACAAAAGGTGGCGGATACTTTCTGAGGGCTTCACTTACTACCGCATCCAAGTACTTGAGTTGATTAATAGCTTCATAAGTCACTTCCCCGTTTGACTTTTCCAGAACTTGGTCGACTTCTTGCCGCAACTTCGTCTGGATGTTCGGATCAGTCCCGAGCTCATGAGATATGAAAGACAACCCGAGTGCGACACTCTCGAAACCACCGAAAAAGAAAATGAACGCTTGTGCGGTCATGTCTTCGATACTCAATTCTCTCTCACCCTCACGCTTACCCCTGATATCCATCATCAGCTGTATCATGTCTGGACGTGTAATATTCTCAGCGTCGCGAGTTGCGATTATGCTCTCTATGGTGTTTTTAAAAAAGTCTACAATGTTGTCACTTATCATCTTCAGACCGAGGAAGTTCGCAAGTTTTGGGAATGATTTAAACGTGAGAAACTTAATGGCTCGAATCCCTTCGAAGCTAGTCACGTATTTGCCATAGCTGAGGAACTTGTTCGTTGGATTTCTCATGGAGTCTATTTTAATTCCAAAGGCACATGTTGCGATGACGTCATTCGTAAACTTGACGAAGGCGTCCTTCATATCTACGTCGCTTTTATCCGCGGTTGTTTCCAACAGAAAATTGGTGAAATCCACGGCGCACTCCGACATCAGCATAAACATGGACTTCATCTTGCTGGATGTGAATGCCGGGCTCAACAAAGTTCTCACGTCTCTCCATTTTTGGTCCCGAAGAGAGAACAAATTCTTTGCTGACAGGGGATCGTTGATCTCGATGAAACCACGACGATTTGGAAATGAGTCGAAATTCTTGATGAGGATTTCTTTTATCAGCTCCGGATCGCGAATCAAGATGATAGGCTGCATAGTGGCATAGAATCCCACATATTTGGCGTCTTTGTTAAGATTGTATACTCTTCGAAGTAAGTCTTGGAATGACACTTGGCGTAATAAAAGCGGTATCATGGAGCCTAATATCGGAACTGCCGGCATATAGATGATACCGTGTCTTTCAAAGAAATTAAAATGTTGGAAAAGATAATGAATGCCGAGAGCTCCTATTACGACGGATAATAATATCGTCCAATACTCCATGATGAATGTTGTTACGAGTTTTTGCTAAGATCAATTCACAGATAAATTAATTCGCAGAACTCGCAGATTTGCAGAATTCGATCACATGCCGGCGATGTTGTAGGCTCGAGTAACTGTGCATAACTAGTGCCATCGCTTAATATCCATTACTATATCTGCACATTCGTCTTACGCAAGTCACGTCCAACAGTTACATGAGATAAGTGACTGAGTTACTTATGATAGATCTACGTAGGTTGAAATATAAGATCACTGTGCAGTTAAACACTGCCAGAGTAAACACTCGACTAAGCAGTAAAGCGGGATTTCAAGTCTTCGATAATGACGTTGTAATATTGAAGTTGATATTGCAAAATAAGACATACATCGATATAATACAATTTAATCAATTTTCGTGGTATATATATCTGTGTTTTATCATTATTATCATTATTATTATTTAATCGTATCATCCATTGCATTATTTATGAACTTGGACAAAGTTCTTCCAAAATATATATACAAGATATATATAGTATATAGTATGTACTTATATATATATATATACATATTATGGATACATGACTTAACGAATTATAATAATGTTAAGTAGTAAGTTTGAAAAATTAAAGTTTAAAATATCCTCACTTTTGAGAAATATATTTAATTAGCCGTCTTCATCAGATTTTAAAAATAAAATTTAACGGAACGATCACCAATCACCAAATAATATTTAATGTTAATATAGATATAATAACGATAAAAGTTATTTTTTATGAAATAAAACATATTGGAAACGCTATTTGTTACAATATAAAACGAGTTACGTTTAATTTTATTCATATTTTTAGTGCGCTTAAAATGTCTTTATGAATTAATCTCGTTGCTGCGCATGATGACTCAATCACAAATCAGATTGTATATCGCTTCTACGTTGGACACTCAACCAGAATCCATTTTCTGGCACCAGGCCTAGACCTTTTTTGGTGAATTTCATAGGCAACGTGGTTTTTGCGCAAGGTTTCAGCTCGCACCGCGCTAACAGGTGAAACACTAAGATTTTCAGTTCCAGTAACGCAAACCTGTTGGCAATGCACATCCGCGGCCCTATTCCAAATGGCATGTAATATGACGAGTTGTGGTGAGAGCTCATGGTTGAGAATCTCTCAGGACGGAATTTTTCCGGTTCATCATAATACTTTTCATCACGATGAATCGAATAGACTGGGATCCAAATTAACTGACCTTTCTCTATGATGACAGGTTTCTCATTCGGCAATGTGGGTGGTAATTCATAAGTCTTATCGCATTCTCGCTCAACAAAGCCTACCGGTGGATACAATCGGAGACTTTCGCTTATCACCATGTCTAAATATTTTAGCTGATTAATAGCGTCGTACGTCACATTTCCGTTTGAGTCCTTGAGAATTTGGTCAAACTCTCGCCGTAACTTCGTCTGGATGTCCGGATTAGCGGCAATCTCATGAGCTATGAAACACATTGCGCTCGAGCTGGTCTCGAAACCGCCGAGGAAGAAAATGAATGCCTGCGCGGTCATGTCGTCGATGTCCAATTGTCTCTTGTTCTCACCCCTGATGTCCATCATCAGTTGTAGCATGTCTGGACGTGTGATGTTTTTGGCATCGCGCATGTCGATGGTGGTCTTTACAGTGTCCTTGAAAAACCTATTTGCTCCGTCGTTTAGAATCTTTAGGCCGAGGAATTGTGCGAACTTCGGAAATGCTCGAATGAAGAAGAACTTGAGAACGTTCTTTCTAAAGAAATTAACCGCTTCTGTACCATAGAAGTAGAACTCATTGGTAGGATTCTTCATGGAATCGACTTTAATTCCAAAGGCACACGAGGCAATCACATCAGTCGTATACTTGGTGAACAACTCTTTCATATCCATGTCGCTCTTATCTCTTAATATTTCTGATAGAGATTTGGTGAAGTCCACAGCACACTCCGACATTAATGTGAACATGATTTTCATCTTACTAGATGTAAATGATGGACTCAATAAGGTTCTTACATCTCGCCATTTTTGTCCGCGGATGGAGAATAAATTTTTTGAAAACAATATATCATTGAATTCGGCAAAACCACGCCGATTAGGAAACGTATCGAAGCTCTTGATGCAGACGTCTTTGATGATCTCGGGATCTCGCAACAAAATCATAGGTCGCATCGTAGTATAAAATCCGTAATACTTGGCATCCGGATTGAAGTAATACAGCTTTTGAAGAAAATCCGCGAATGATAAACGGCGCAATATAAGCAACATATTATTGTCAAATATCGGCAATGATGGAATATGGAGAACACCGTGTCTCTTGAAGTAATTGAACTTTTGGTAAAGGTAATGCAAACTGAGAATACCTATCACAATGGATAGTAGTATCGTCCAATATTCCATGGCGAATGTTGTTTGAGAACCTTGGCAGAGCCGATTCGAGAGTGAACGAAGGATTGGCGGACCTTGCTTCGCGTATTTGCGATTCAGTAAGTCTGGAAGTTAATACGCAACTGCCAATGCCTACCGCTACAAACGTTTATATATCTATAGATCTTTCTGACGTAAGTAAGTTGCAGGATGACGTTGTAAAAGATAATAAGAAATACAGTATATATATTTAGCACTCCACGGTTGTTTGCGGTTATAGGAACGTATAATGATAAAAGAGAAAGATAAAAGAGAGAGATTACTTGTAACAAAATTACTGAAAATTTTATAATTAAAAAAATATCGACATTCTACCTTAATTTATTATTCTTTCGTTTTATATGTGCCATATTTATGCTCAAAATATCACCAAATCTACTATTAAAAAATATACTATTATTATACTATCTATTATTATATATCTACTATTATATACTATTATTATATTATTATACTATTATACTATTATTGAAACTTCTGTACTACTAGACAATATAAACAGAAGTTAAAAGTATTTATGTAAAAAAAGCTATAGTGATCTCTTCGACTTTTTTTGTCTAGACCTTTACTTTAAACTTGAACCAGAGAGGAACGTGAGAGCCGTCAACACAGCGTTTCCACGACACCGATTTTCCGCGCTGAGAAAAGGCGCCATTTGCATTCATTTTGAGAGGGAAACTACGATGCTACATTCACTTTCAGGTTTCGGCGGTAAAACCTGCATGTGGTGTGGTAGCAGTCCGTGCTACATCTACTTTCGGGCGGTTTATGTCCGTGCTACAACTATAATAGAATAGCGTACTTGACAAGCACGGTCTCGCATATTGTTACGCGTTTATATAACATTAGAACACTACAAGCGCGCGCCATTTTAGTTTATTCATATTAAAGTTTAGAATAAATATTATAAATCAAAAATAATCCCTGGAGTGTAATATGAATTCGATAATATCCGACTCCAACATACGATGTATTAGGCTCATACAGTTTGAAATTCCATGACAAATATAAGAAATCAAAATGATCAAAATAATAATGTCCGTGTAGTCCGAAGGATATTATGTGACACGCAAAATCCGTTTGATATAATATTCAAAGAAAATGTTTCAAAATATGTATGTACAGATAATATAAACCTTATGTACCGACGAGATATACTACAAAGACTGATGGCCTTACGGGATTTAGCGTACCAGAGAAATTTCCCTGGCGAGGCACCCAGGCGAAAGAGACCGTCTCGCATTTAGCGCAGTAAAATTTAATGGGAACTAATACTTTTCAATCCTTTTCTTCGAATCAAAAAGATTCAGAATACAGACATATTCAAAATGTCAATACTTTATAATACGTTTCAATTCGATATTTTATACAGAGAAGCAGGACAAAGGGAATGGGAATGCGGGCAACGATACATCATGCGTCTCCAGACGTGTCAAATCGTTTAGTATAGAGGAGACTTTGATACGGCAACATGTATTCGAATATTTAATCGTCCCATGGACTACTTATATATAATAAAAAAAAAATTAACGCGGATAAATGAATGATTCATATCAATTTTTCCTTTTCTTATAGAACAATGAAAGAGTAAATCAGTATCGAAAATCGAATACCGATTAATACCATAAATCAGTGTCAGAAAATTGTCCAGACAATTTGTTCTCATTTTTCAGGTAGTTACCGCTGTAATTTACATAACAAATTAACTCGGTTAAACGAACGATTCGTACCAATTTTTCTTCTCTTATAAAGAAATGAGAGAATAAATCAATACCGAAAATCGAAGGCCGATCAATACCTAATTTATTCATCAAATTAACGCGGATTAATGGACGATTCGTATTAATTTTCTGTTTTCTTATAGAGAAATGAAAGACTAAATCAGTACCGAAAATCGAATATCGATTAATACCATAAATCAGTGTCAAAAAATTGCACACGTGTAATGACAATATGTTCTTATTTTTCAGATACATACCCCTCTAATCATATTCAACAAATTAACTCAGATAAACGAACGATTCGTATCAATTTTTCTTGTCTTATAAAAAAATTAGAAAATAAATCAATACCGAAAATCGAAGACCGTTCAATATCTAATCTTTTCATCAAATTAACGCGGATAAATGAACAATTCGTCTGAATTTTTTCTTTTCTTATAGAAAAATGAAAGGAGAAATCAGTACCAAAAATCGAATACCGATCAATATCGAATTTTTTCATCAAATTAACGTGGATAAACAAACGATTTGTATCAATCTTTTTTTCTTTTATAGAGAAATCAAAGACTAAATCAGTACCGAAAACCGGATATTGATCAATACTATAAATCAGCGTTAGAAAATTATCTAAATGCAATGACAAGTTGTTTTCATCTTGCAGGTACTTACCCCACTAATTTACTCAACAAATTAAGTCGGATAAAAGAAAGATTCCTATCAATTTTTATTCTGTTATAAAGAAATTAGAGAATTAGTCAGTACCGAAAATTGAAGACCGATCAATATTTAATTTATTCATCAAATTAACGCGGATAAATGAAAGATTCGTATGAATTTTTTTTCCTATATAGAAGTCGAAGAGTAAATCAGTACCGAAAATCGAATATCGATCAATACCGTAAATCAGTGTCAGAAAATTGTCCAAGTACAATAACAATTTGTTCTCATTTTTCAGGTACTTACGCCTCTAATCTTATTCAACAAATTAACTCAGATAAACAAACGATTCGTATCAATTTTTTTTGTCTTATAAAACAATGAGAAAATAAATCAGTACCGAAAATCGAAGACCGTGCAATATCTAATTTTTTCATCAAATTAACGCGGATAAATGAACAATTTGTATCAATCTTTTTTTCTTTTATAGAGAAATCCAAGACTAAATCAGTATCGAAAACCGGATATTGATCAATACTATAAATCAGCGTTAAAAAATTGTCTAAGTGCAATGACAAGTTGTTTTCATCTTGTAGGAACTTACCCCACTAATTTACTCAACAAATTAAGTCGGATAAAAGAACGATTCGTATCAATTTTTATTCTCTTATAAAGAAATTAGAGAATCAGTCAGTACCGAAAATTGAAGACCGATCAATATTTAATTTATTCGTCAAATTAACGCGGATAAATGAACGATTCGTATGAATTTTTTTTTTCTTACAGAGAAATGAAAGAATAAATCAGTACCAAAAATCGAATATCGATAAATTCCGTAAATCATTGTCAGAAAATTGTCCAAGTACAATGACAATTTGTTCTTATTTTTCAGGTATTTATCCCTCTAACATACTCAACAAATTAACTCGAATAAACGAAATATTCGTACCAATTTTTCTTATCTTATAAAGAAATGAGAGAATAAATCAGTACCGAAAATTGAAGACCGATTAATATTTAATTTATTCATCAAAATAACGCGGATAAATGAACGATTCGTATGAATTTTTTTTTCTTGTAGAAAAATGAAAGAGTAAATCAGTACCGAAAATCGAATATCGATTAATATCATAAATCAGTGTCAAACAATTGTCCAAGTGCAATAACAATTCGTTCTCATTTTTCAGGTACTTACCCCTCTAATCTTATTCAACAAATTAATTTGGATAAACGAACGATTCGTATCAATTTTTTTTATCTTTTAAAAAAATGAAAAAATAAATCAGTATCAAAAACCGAATATCGATTAATACCATAAATCAGTGTCAGAAAATTGTCCAAGTGCAATAACAATTTGTTCTCATTTTTCAGGTACTTACCACTCTAATTTACTCAACAAACTAACTCGATTAAACGAACGATCCGTATCAATTTTTCTTTTCTCATAAAGAAATAACAGAATAAATCGGTACCGAAAATCGAGGACCGATCAATACCTAATTTTGTCATCAAATTAACGCGGATAAATGAACGATTCGTATTAATTTTCTGTTTTCTTATAGAGAAATGAAAGTGTAAATCAGTACCGAAAAACGAATATCGATTAATACCATAAATCAGTGTCAAAAAATTACCCACGTGCAATGACAATTTGTTCTTATTTTTCAGGTACTTACCTCTCTAATCTTATACAACAAATTAACTCGGATAAACGAACAATTCGTATCAATTTTTTTTGTCTTATAAAAAAATGAGAAAATAAATCAAAACCGAAAACTGATCAATACCATAAATCAATATCAAGAAAATTGTCCAAGTAATGACAAGTTGTTTTCATCTTGCAGGTACTTACCCCACTAATTTACTCAACAAATTAAGTCGAATAAAAGAACTATTCGTATCAATATTTATTCTGTTATAAAGAAATTAAAGAATCAGTCAATACCGAAAATTGAAGACCGATCAATATTTAATTTATTCATCAAATTAACGCGGATAAATGGACGATCCGTATCAATTTTTTTTCTTATAGAAAAATGGAAGAGTAAATCAGTACCGAAAATTGAATATCGATTAGTACTATAAATCAGTGTCAAAAAATTGTCCAAGTGCAATGACAATTTGATTTTATTTTTCAGGTACTTATTCCTCTAATCTTATTCAACAAATTAACTCGGATAAACGAACGATTCGTATCAATTTTTTTTGTCTTATAAAAAAATGAGAAAATAAATCAGTACCGAAAACCGAAGACTGATCAATACCATAAATCAATTTCAAGAAAATTGTCCAAGTGCAATGACAAGTTGTTTTCATCTTGCAGGTACTTACCCTACTAATTTACTCAACAAATTAAGTCGGATAAAAGAAAGATTAGTATCAATTTTTATTCTCTTATAAAGAAATTAAAGAATCAGTCAATTCCGAAAATTGGAGACCGATCAATATTTAATTTATTCATCAAATTAACGCGGATAAATGAACGATTCGTATTAATTTTCTGTTTTCTTATAGAGAAATGAAAGAGTAAATCAGTACCGAAAATCGAATATCGATCAATACCGTAAATCAGTGTCAGAAAATTGTCCAAGTACAATGACAATTTATTCTCATTTTTCAGGTGTATATCCCTCTAATTTACTCAACAAATTAACTCGAATAAACGAATGATTCGTATCAATTTTTCTTGTCTTATAAAGGAATGAGAGAATAAATCAGTACCGAAAATTGAAGACCGATCAATATTTAATTTATTCATCAAATTAACGCGGATAAATGAATGAGTCATATGAATTTTTTTTTCTTGTAAAGAATTGAAAGAG